CAAGATCAAAGGTAAGATCTTATATGATCTTAGTATCTGATTGTTTGACATGAGTACATTTTCATTCGATTTATAAAACATCGTATAATATCACTGAATGAATCTTGAAGAATCGTATTGTCTCTTTATTTCATTTGTAAAACCAAGACAAAGAAATGAAAGTTGCAAGAAACATAATTAAACAACGTTATGATTGGTGTCTGATAACTTCGGTCAGCTTAAAGTATTCATTATAGCTTCATTTTTCTAATCTGCATTCTCTTATGCTTTTCGGACTGGTTGAATTTCTGCCTGAAAGATTTTTCTATTTTAGTTTAGGAATTCTCGCTGAAATGATTCTTAGAAAGAATCAACGCATATTTTACTCCTATCTATGCTAACTGATTGAACTTAGTTTAGTATCAACTTTATTTATCCTGTCTAACTAAAGTATGATTCGAACTGAACATATAATTAAATAATAAAAATGCTTTAAATTTGAACGGCAGTAGTCAGCTAAAATTATATACTCAGTTAATTGTTTGTATTGTGTGCTTGATAACAATCAAACTTGTTAGGTGAAATACTGAATGATTGATGATCTGATGTCAGATGAACTTTTTCAAATTCTTTCTTTTAATAGTTGTAAGTGTTACTTTTCTTATGCTGATATGAATACATGACTTTCGAATAGCTTTTTAATCTATTACATAATGTTGATGTAAAAGAAACAAAAGTATTAAGTCAAGATAAATATTTGGTGGTGAATGATAAAATTTTCATTAAATATTTCAATTATATGATAAATAAATATTGATGTTCAACAAAGAAAAAATTCAACGATTAATATTAATAAAAGTTTCAATGGTTTATGACGATATGATTCATATGAGATATACCGTATGATAATGAATAATGACTTTGACCACAACTATTTCGAGAGCTTGCTCATATTGTTATTTCGTTAATAATTATTTTGGGATAATCGACAAGTTTTTGCATGCGTTCGATTAATTTTTTGTTTTATTATGAGCTATCTAATTGACAATTTAACCTCAAAGTTCTTCACTAAACCCTAATCTTGATCTTCTACTACTGCAATGTGCTGATTGATGATCAAATTTTTCAAAATTTAATGATTATCTTAATTTATGATCAATTCAACTATAGTCCATTTCAGAGTTAAATGGCCGTGGGCATTTTTTGAGTAACTTTTGATTGGCTCAGACTATTGAGCTCGGGATTTCAGCATTGGAAAGAGCCAGCTCTGAGGCGTCTATCTATATAATATTCATCAAGGCCAAAGGCACTTTTTTTCAAATCGAATTTTAATCCAAATCGCCCTGTGTACATAGTATGATTTTGACAGTCTAAATGACCTTTTTCATTAACCAGATCATTTTAAGTTGTAGCAATTTTACATCATATATCAGAACGATTTGGGCTACAATTTGGTATATTTTGAGGTTAGATTATTATAAAAATTTATGAAAATATGGGATGAACAACATAATGATGCACAAACCGTATGAAAAAAAAACGCCTTTGACCTTGATGAATATTATATAGATAGACGCCTCAGAGCTGGCTCTTTCCAATGCTGAAATCCCAAGCTTAATAGTCTGAGTCAATCAAAAGTTATTCAAAAAATCCTCACGGCCATTTAACGCTGAAATGAACTATAGTTGAACTTCTGACTTGAAAAGAACCGCATGAGCTAAACTCGCAGCCCGAAAGAGCCCAATTGGATGAGAGGGTGTGGGTGTGGGTGTGGGTGTGGGTATGGGTGTGGCTGACTTACGGGAATAGCCACACCTACCCACCCACACCCTAATCGCTCGAGATCAACGGCAGGCAAAAGATAATTGTTCTAGAGTAGAAACTCTACGAACTTGGAAACCATTCTATCATTCAGTAAATGTACTTGAAAACTTTTTTCCACCATATTCCTATGTCAAACATCCGGACGAAGAAAAGATGAAAAATAAATGATTTATGTAAAATTATCAACTATTTGTTTTATTACAATCTTTCTAAGAGTCAATGGAATAGAATTATTGTAAAGATCTATATTGATTTAAATATAATACTAAGAAAAATTAGTTTCTATTTTGTCGAATAAATAGAAAAAGAAAACTTTAATTCTATCGTTTATTTTATTAATGATATATGAGATGACTTTTAGTAATGCAAGACAAGAATCAATTGATTATGAATAATAATTGAAGTTTGAAAGGAGAAAAATCCATGATATTGCTCGTGACATAATTACAAAATGTTCGTTTGTATTTGAGTACATTAAAAAACATTTCATATCGTGAATTTCAATCATTTATATTTTATGAAAATAAAGCAAATATTTGAATATTTTAGCTTCTGCGAACGATTAAATATGAGAAGATTAACTAAAATATGTTTCAATCGTAAGATTTAAAAAATATCGAAATATTCGAATTCATGCACTGTTAGACCTAAGGACGAAAACACGACGTTAATTATACAAACATTGCTTGGGATATGATGTAGCAATTTATCATTTTGTAATGTAAAAGTCTTTCTGAATCGCTCATGTAAACCATACTTTCGTAGGACTGAATCGGTGCAATATTCGTTAGTTCACAATAGAAAAAGATTTTTATTTTAAAGTACATTTTTTTTTTTATAAATTTTGATATAGAAAAAAGTCGACAACGCACTAGTCAATTTATAACAGTTCTTAAACGAGTATTGACGATGTTAGATTAAAAAGTGCTTTTTAAGCGTTCCGAAAATGAAAAATGCTCAAGATCTCTCTTATTATTAGACTGATTTTGAAAAAAACTCTGATATTTCTAATCAGCACACACTCTGCTTTATCGACCTATAAAGATTGCGAATAAAATAAATGCAAATATATATATATAGTGTTTAGTGTCTGTCTGTGCTGAATCAATGGTTAAATGTTAATGGTCGTAAGATTATAAAGGGGTAAGACTACAAGTGGTAAGACTAGAGGGAGGGTGGAGATTGAAACTACAAGGGTATGAGGGTCATCCATAAAGGACGTCGAAGTAAATGAGGGAGGGAAGTCAGCGAAAAATGGACATTTCTGGATAGAGGGAGGGGTCAGCCGTATCCGGACGTCCGGATGCTCATTAAGAATTTTTTGAGCACTTCTCGCAAAACTTTTGAGTAAAATTGCTTTTTAGACAGCATTTTCACAATAAAAATCTGTCAGAATTTTATGAAGCATCATATCAACATAACTAGTTATTGGTTAGCTTGCAGAAAAAGGATTCAAACTCACAAAAGTAAAGGAAAAACTGTCTCTAATCGAAAGTACATAAACGACAGATTGTCAAACAAGTGGTATGCTTTAAGATACTCGACCAAAGTGGTATAAGTTCCATTTTTCTTCCAGAAGCTATGGAACAACGAGATTTTTCATTAATTTCTCAAAAAAGAGTCATTTTTCTCGTTGTTACAATGGATTCTTGGTTAAAAATGGACACAAGTTCTATGATGACTTCGTTTTGACAATAAAACTGAATTATTTGAATGATAAAAACCATCTCTATATTTCTCACGGAATAAAAAACGATGGGTTCTCATCATAATTATATGAAACTTTAGAGGGAACAGCAGTAGGAAAAATATATTTTAAAAAAAAGGAGAGAACTGCTGTAAAAAACATTTATTTCTATCAGAAATTTACAAAATATTTCTCAAGCTTTCGCACTCTTCTGAGTACATCTTCAGGAGTTACATTGTGCTCAAAATGAACAGGAATGTATACAAAAAATAAATACATAAATAAATTAATAAGTACATCAAAATACCAATGTTCAATTAATAAATAAATACATAATTTTGAATCTTGCTGTTGCTATTGGTGTCGTTGTTGTTGATACTGCTGCACTGTTGTGGTTTTATATGTTAGTATGAGGAGGATCGACCGATTAAGGGTGTGGGTGGGGTGTGAGTGTGAGGTGTGGGTGGGTATTGAGAGTAGTCACACCCTCTCACCCACAGCCATACCCACCCACACCCACATCCCACCCTTTTACAGAAAAAACAGTCATACAATATATATAATCCTGGACAATATTTTTCGAACGATTTTATTTTCAGCATAACTCCCTCATAATGTGCACTTTTGACGAAAACCACTCGTCAAAAGTGCACATTATGAGGGAGTTGTGCTGAAAATAAAATCGTTCATAAAATATTGTCCAGGACTGTATATAGAAATATCTTCAATCGAACGTGATCAAATAGCCGTGCGTCGAACTAATTAACATAGGTTTATGTTTTGGCGTCATGATTGAAGACAAGTTCTTCAAGTGTCTGAATGATTGTTCAATCTCTTTTATTAGCAATGAAAAGTTTCTCTTGGTATGTTCAATGAAAAGTTTATGCTTAAATAAGACAGAACTATTCATATTTGAATACTTTCCCATGTTTATTAGTTAATGAACACAGTTGAAAAATGATTAGAAAACGTGTGAAAATGAAATTTGGAACAAACCAACTTGATTGTCTCTAATAATTTCATTTAGATATGATGGATGACTTTGATGATAGGATATTTTACTGCTTTCTTAATTACAATAAAAGTCTTTTCATATTTCAAATGATAGAAAACTAAGCAGTAGTATTATTACAGAATTTCAATGTCTAAAAAGATAAAATTCAGAGACCAAATAATTTTCATAGATTATTTATTAATAAGCTTGCAATTCAATATAATGGCGTTTGTGATACTTGAAGCATTTTCCCAATTACATCGAGGTAGTAATAATGAATATCTTATTGTTATATACTATGTAAATTCATCTAACCTTTGATGATCTCTCCTCATCATAGGATGAATTTTTCTAAACAATTAATTTCATCAAACTGGATGCTGTTGTTTTTTTATTATTTAAAAAAATAAACGAACATTATACCTATTCTTATACATGTTTAAAAGTGTTCGTTGTTTTTAAACATAGAAATTCATGAATCTTAGTGTTATATATGTATAGAAGTGTTCGTTTTGTTTAAACATCTAAATTTTTGAATGTATTATATTCTTCAGATTTTGATTGAAGATCTTCTAATATAGGTCTAATCCAAAAATTGAACATGTCGATGTTCATTTCAGTGCATGATAAAAGAATATTTGCCGTAACAGTAGCCAAATATCTTCGATTAAAGAACATATCCAAAACACCTACATAATCCAATCGATTTAATGTAGACACTTGATCAAGTGTTTGACCATTTTTTCCTGGCTTAAATACACCAGCAGTACCTAAATAAAACTTTTTGTTTATATTTCAGAGAAAAGGTTAAGTTTTATTTGTTTTACCGTTCAAAAGAATAAAAAATCTATCGGCTATTCTTCCGATTTGAACAATATGTTGACCTCGTCGAAATTTTACGATCTTGAAATGATCAGCCAGATCGAGATATTTCTTGTCATCCAGATGCTTTAAAATTTTTACCGATTTTAAAACAGGCACAAGTTCTGCTGATGTCTAAACCAAATACAAATATTTCATTAATTAAATACACATTTTATACTTACTTGACACTCGACATCATCAATTTCAAATTCTTCATGTTTTTTTGGATCAGGATTAATGTAAATACATTCATTACAATTAAGTTTATCAGACGAGATATTTTTTAAGATTTTAACAACAGTTTCATGATGTTCATTAATTCATTTTGTATTATTGTGTTTGTGGAGCATTAACATTTGATGAACAAATATGATCATCAAGATAATATAAACCAATGCCATAATAAATAATAATGAAAGGTGTAATTTAACAGATGTTTTATTGCGAAGGTATAGTGCTGCCGGCGTCTGAAACAAATTTTTATTAATGCAGGGCGGTCCAAAAGTCACGCACCAAACAAAAAAAAATTAAATATCTTCGTTAAGGCTTGAGCAAATGAGCTGATTTTTCGTCGATGGTAGAGGCATATACAAGCTTTTTATTCATAAAGACATGTCTAGGTAGACCCTCTATTAATTAACCCTATTGACTTCAAGAATAAAAAATCTGTTTTTTTATATATCAAAAAACACTATGTAATGTACAGAAAGAACAGTTGATTCGGAGAAAATGTAATTAATAGAATAAATTTATAAACAACGCATGTTGTATTCATATATATTCTCTTTTCGTACTTTTCTCCTTCTGTTTTCCTATAACCTATGTTGGCACTTTACACGCTCTAAATCGTTTTATTTATATTGTTCATTATATTGCTTTAGCAGCAGTATACGTACGTTTTCGATATTCCCGGTAAGATCTGTGCTTCTTTGCTGCACACTGTTCATTCTATCTTACTTCGAATTCGTATGTACAGATGCCGAGAGTTTTAACAAAAGAACATTTGTCCTGAAGCAATCGTGGATGTCAGGAAGAACATTACAAATAGTAAATGAAGCGTTTAGAGATGGATGTGCTGACAACGAAATTCCAGCTCGACAAACAATTTACTGACTAGCAAAAAAATTTGATGAGACAGGTTCTGTGGAAGATACACCTCGAAGTGGTAGACCAACATCAAGAAATACAGAAGAAAATATGGAACTTGTTTCTCAAAGTTTTCTTCTTAATCCACAAGCGTCACAAAGACGTGCAGCACGTGAACTTGATATCTCACGTTCAAGGTTACAACGTATCATGAAAGATCTCCATTTGAAACCGTACAAATCGAGATTATTACAAGCCTTATGAGGATGATCCTGATCGACGACTTGTATTTTGTCAATGCGTTTTAGATTCAGTTGTAGAAGATCCAACTATATTAGATCGAATTTTGTGGACAGACGAAGCTACATTCCAAACAAACGGTGATTTGGATTATCTGAAATTATTAATTGAACATGAATTTATATCGCTCAATAATAATATCGAATTATGCCAAGCAATCTCTCGTTCTGTAGCTAAGCGTTGCCAAATGTGTATTAGTACAGAAGGCAAACAATATGAATATTTGCTTTAACATATTGATTATTCTTTTCTGAAAAATTTTCCTTTCTGTATATTATATTGGTTTTTTTTGATATATGAAAAAGCATATTTTTTATTCGTGAAGTCAATAGGGCTAATTGATAGAGGGTCTATCTAGACGTGTCCTTATGAATAAAAAGCTTGTATATGCCTCTACCATCAACGAAAAAATCAGCTCATTTGCTTAAGCCTTAATAGAGATATTTAATTTTTTTTTTGTTTGGTGCGTGACTTTTGAGGCGCCCTGTATATAGACAAATCACGCATACACTTACGAGATTTACATCTTTAACCTTTAAATATTTGTTTGATATGTCGAGATGAATACCTAAAAAAAGAAAATCGGTTAAATATGATTTATTATTTCAAATTATTCAACTAACCATTATGAGTATCAAGAACACCAGCCATTTTTTCGAATCAACTAAGACGATTTTGTTTTGCAAAGAAAAACAAAATCTATTTTATTTTATTTTATTCTAAAATTGAGAAAAAAAATATCATTGTTAATGTTTTGAATTTGGTTCGGAAAAATAAGTTTTCATTCGACTTTTTCCTTTAACATCAATCTCTCCACGAAATTCAAATTGATATTTATCTTTTAAAGCTATAGCAACATGTTCTGGAACTTGAATTTGTTGCTTTTTACTCGTTGAATCCATTCTTCAAGCAACATTAACTGTATCATCTCAAGTATCGTAAAATAATTTAGTTGTTACAATAATCCCAGTTGTTACTGATTCAAAATTAAAACCCATTCGAAGTTCAAATGCAAAAATTTAAAAGTGCTTCGATCTATTTTCCATTTGTTTCGGTCGAGATACAATATATTCACACGATGCATTGTAAAGTGTGTGCATGTGGAGATTATATTTCAAACGAGACTTCTGTTTATAATTGATAGATTATCAATCATTCAGATTAATTTTAAATAACTTTTTTTTTCTGTAGAATATTATTTTCCGATATAAAATATGGATTTCTAATTGTAAATATTAGAAATAAAAAATCTTGTTGAAAATAAAAAAAGATAAACAAAAGAGGTCGCTTTTAGAATTTATTTGTTTGTGTTATTTCATATAAAAATAAATGTGAGAATAAATATATTTCTATAATTTCAGATGTTAACTAAATTAACTCATCCATTTCTATCGAATGGTGTTGAGATCATAAATCGATCATTATCCATTTCAAATATATTTTATCAATGGTGGAGCACCAAAATCAAGTTCAATTAATAAATTATCTAAAACAGGTTGATTTTTCATTGATTTTGTTTTTATTTAATAAATCAAATTTTAAATGATAAATCATCAATTGAACATAAAACAGATGAAAAAGTTTTACGTGTAGAAGATTCTTTAGAAGATTTATCATCAATTAAACAGTAGTGCAGAACAGAGATGTGCGGGGCATTGATTTATCATGCCCCGCGGGGCCCGCCCCGTAAAATTCACAAACCCGTCCCGTCCGAACCCCGTGGATATTCTTTTTGAGAATCCCCGCCCCGCCTGTGCCCCGGCAAATCTATACCCGCTCCGCCCGTACCCCACACAGGCAGCTTCTTGGACCGGCCCGCCCGACCCGTCCCCGTGTAACCCGAAGAAATTTTTTATTTATCAAATACTTTATTTTTAATGATGCATTCCTTTTATGAATAATCATTTTTTACAAAAACAAAACTCAAGTCTATATGAGATGGTTTTGAATGATTCACTTTGTGATTGTCGACAAGCACGTATTTTTCTGGTTGTTCTTTTAAAAACATTTTTATATTTGACGAATTACATTTAATATTACTCGATGAGCAATGACTGAGAGATGAAGAAATAATTGTAGATGAACGATCAGTATTCGACGAAGCTGTCCTATCAAGTGATTCATCAGGAGATAAATCATGTGATTCGATCATACTTAGGTCTGACCAAAAGTTCTGGCAACATTATATAAAAATATAAAGATAAGTAGGCGTCTTTAATTTTATTTTATCAAATATTGAGGACAGTTGCCATGATTATTTATACCAAGTTCGATCCTTTCCAACAATTTGTTAAAAATTTTTTTCGAAAAAATTTTTAGATATCTTAGATATCGCACGAGCTTATCATGTTTCATTTATTTAATCAGTTAAACTACATTTGATAGAATTAGTTAGCGAAAAGTTACATAGTATCAGGCCTGGCGAATATGATAGATATGATATTATATTGATGCCTTCTTCTGTCATGCAATTAATAACATTAGATGAGTATGAAGTCAACGATGACCGTCAAGCAATTTTGAACCTGATGTCTCTGAATAATTAATATGATTCATGGGCATAGAAAATGAAATCTATATATAGTGAGATTATTTTACAGCAGCAATGAAAAAAAAAAAAGTTTATTTTATATAATTTTTCGTCCTACGACGTTTCGATAATTTTATTATCATTGACTAGTAGATGTTGTAATGAGGAAAGAAAACACAGAACAAGAATGAGACAAACAATTGAAATGAGAAAAGTTCATATATCAAATAAAATAATATATTATATAAAAGGGTGTGGGTGTGGGGTGTGGGTGTGGGTGTGGGTGTG